TTTTGGAAAGGGCTCAACATGCTGTTTGGCCTGGATGCAGACCTCACATTGGGTATGGCTGGTGTCACCTGAGACTTTCAACCTATTGTGGTGGAGAAGCTCCTGCATTCCTGAGTGGCTGAGATGCCCATAGACCCTATGCCAGTCATCAAGACTGCGTGATGGTTCAGCTGTGAATGCAAGAAAGGTTTTGGCGGAAGTAGCGATGTTCGCTGCATGTGGTATGACCGGTGTGACGTTCCCTAGTGTATATACATCACCAATGTTATGACATATACCGAGTTGTTGGTTGTGAGAGTCACGGATACCAACGTCCAAAGAGTTGATTGGGAAGTCCAGATGATAGCCTGCACAATGGAGTTTACCCAGAGAAATCAGGTTGTGTGGGCTATTTGGGAGATAGAGCACCCTCTTGAGTGTGATGTAGTTGGAATGTGATCCAATTCCAAGTCTAAGTCTCACACTCCCTTCACCTTCAGCAGTTGAAGAACCAATTCCTATAACTGTATGGCTAGATAATGCCATGTAAGAGGTGAAATGGGATCTGTTGTTGGTGATGTGAACACTTGCTACACTGTCTAGAAGCCAAGAGTCTTTGGTGAGAGTAGGGGTAGCCATGAATGCAACATCATGGGCTTGCTCTGTAACTGTGTTTAACTTCATGACTTTGAGATTTAGGGGTTGAAACACCAAGGTTATATCAACTATCACTTGTAAGTTTGCATAACATGAATTAGTTACATATAATATGTACAATTTACTTATCAGCAGATTTTAGATCCCCTGTCATGAATCCTTTAAAACACTTAAAAATCATGATAACCTTGATAATAATTAATCTGTATGGTTAGTATAGTATAGTTACACAGCCAAGCTCCCAATACTTACTAGGATTAATCATGATCAATATGGCAATATTAGCTGAAAGTGGGTTGAGATCCTACTTGATAAGAAACAATATATTATAATAGACCTATAAGATATGATCAAACCTACTAGCAGTATATAAAAGCAATATTGGTGTAAAGTAAGTCTGGTTTGCTAGCTTCTTTCCTTTCTGGGCGCTTACTAATATAAAACCATAAAACAGGGGGTTTCCAGCCAGGCTGTTTATAAACATATAAAACAGGGGTGTTTATAAACCGGTTTACAAACACCCCTATATAAACCAAGCCCTACTGTGTGGGCCTTGGGTCCACTTGAAGATGTACCACCCTTGGTCTTGGATGAGAACTCGAAGTTGCGCTGCTTCTCCTTATCAGAGAATTCTTTGCCAGATTGCTTGGCTCTGCAGTCGTTAGCGCGATGGCCTAGCCGTCCACAATGGAAACAGGCGCCAGGTTGTGAGTTATCATGAGTGTGGGAGGATTTCGAACGATTGCCGAATTTGCCCTTGAATGCCGGAAGTGCTGTTGTGCTGGACTCAGCTTCAGGTTTGGCGGTGGGCTGCTTCGCATGCTGGATGATGCGAGCAATAAGGTCCTCAGGACTTGTGGGCTTGGTGAGATCGAAGTTCCCAGTCCAGTTGTCCCATGAATCAGGGAGTGATGTGAGGATAATGATGGCAAAGTCCGGATCCAAAATGACTGTCCCATAGGTTTCGAGATCAGTCCGAAGGGTAGTAAGAGTGTGGAGGTGCTCCTCAATAGGCTGCTCCTTGCCACATCGAAGTGCATACAACTTTGCGTCTCAAGTGTATGATCGTCATTGCGCCCTTGGGGGTATAGATGGAGTGTAGTTTGTCCCATGCTTCCTTTGCAGTCTTCGCGCCTTGAATATAAGCCATTGGTGTATCACCGAGGGAGTTGGATGATAGTGAGTGCCTTGGCTTGCTTTCGTTTCCAGTCCACATTGGCCTTGAACTCGGCACATTGGCGGGGTCGGTGACAGCCGGTTCAGCAGTGCTGGTTCCGAATACATAATCATCATAGTCCTGGTCAACGAGGATGTCTCGGACTTTCGTCTCCCATATTGGATAGCCAGCGGCGTCTTCCAAAAGCTTTACAGTAGTCCGGTAATGATCGGTCATTGTGTGCTTGTCCAGAGGAGGGATGATACAAAGAAGAAGAGAGAGAAGAGGAAGATCAAAGAAAAGAGGTGGAAGATCAGTGAGATCAACCAAAGATCAGAGGTTTGGGGTGAAGGATCAGAGGAATCGATCCAGAGATCAGAGAGATCAGGGAGAGAAGGCTCGATGTCAAGAGATGACAAAACAGGCGGAGGTTATGTAAGCGATATCCTAAGTTCAGTGACAGCCGGGGCCCATAACCTGTTGAAGAGTAAAAAGTGGGGGTAAAGGGGGTAAAGAGTCTATATCCTAAACTAGGTACATGAGCTTAATTTATAGTACTTGAGATGCGCAGCGCGCAGTCGGGCGCAGTCGGCGCAGTCCGCAGTGTGCAGCCGCAGTCCGCAGTCCGCAGTCCGCAGTCCGCAGTCCGTAGTCCGTAGTCCGGAGTCCGCACGTGATCAGTGCTCCGTCAACAATAAGTAAGTAATAGTGCCAGGATATAAACTAATAACATCCTAAATTGGGAGAATCACACCTATGGAGTTGACTATGAATTTGGCTCTTGAAAGTTGATTTAAAAGGTTTTAGGACAAAGTTTTTCTACTGAATGTAAGGGCAACCCCGGAGGCCTGAGATCAAGGTCCTAGCAGGGGAGGATCCAAAGCGTGAACATTGGTAAGCGAATACAAATGAAGCTGACCTAGCAGGGGAGGATCCAAAGAGAAGAAACTCTAAGGGTCCGCCTGCTAGGTAGCTTATATACTGCTTGTCCGTAGCTGCCGCTGTCGGGCACAGAAGGCTTGGGCGGTGTTGCAGGCAAGGTCCCAGGGTGATCGTCGGGAGGGCGTTGACGGATCGGTAATTGTGCGGGCAAGATGGAGGGTCGGACCGGAGTCGGAACCGGAGTCGGACCGGAATCGGATGCGTCTCCGAGGGGCAAGGGGGCTTCCCCTGACACTGAAAATAAATGGGTTTTATAAAGGGAAATTTAGTTGCAAAAAAATTATTTGATCAAAGCCAAAAATTTCATTCTAAGTTTTTTTAATAAACAAAGAATACCTTAGTATAAAAACTGAAGCTATTTTTTATCAAGTTTCTATACAAATACAAGGGGTCGCCAGCTTCGCGGTGCCTGCCAAACCTTGCTTTGGCATGTAGTTATTCACCATAAATAAAGATATAATTTGAACATGGCTTTAAATTATATTCTATGGTTTATTTGATGTATATACTTGATATTATATGACATGAATTTTTTAAATATTCACCTCTGCATTATGTTCATTATTTAATTCAAATGCTTAATATGGTTACTCACAGTGTCTCACACCATGGATTTGGGCAAAAAGGCGACCCAAAGTAGGATTTATACATGACAGATATGTCCAGATTGTTCATAAATAAGGAGGTAGGGCGACTGCCGTGGCGGCGCACAGTTGATTGGCTACAGCTACTTAATCTACCTTTAAGCAGGCTGAATTCTTGGACACGCTGAAGATTATCTTTTATAGTATCTAGCCAAATTTGACAAAGAAACATACACAATCAAAGGAGGGACAAGGATGGGTGTGCCGAGACATGTGACACTGTAACTATCAGATACCACTTTTGCACGCCATTAGCACAATCTCTTAAATTGATTGTGAATCACGACTCCATTTTTTTAGCATACAGCAGCGAATGTAACCTCTACTGATTGTGTCTATTTTTTATTGTTGTTGTCCTACCTTACAATATATGAGTGTAAGTCCCATTGCTGGTAGATTTGCATTTGTCATATATAATTCTCATCTCTGAACTTCTATAGTATATACCAACTCAGAAATGAGGATATAGTATAGTTACATTTTCAAGACATTATTTCTGGAAATATATATTTGGAAGTGAGCTCTAGAGCTGCTCCTTGATATGCTGAAAAAGTAAAAGAAACTCATTTGATTACTTACTGTCCTACCTCTAAATATATATTGTAGTATTTTAATCAGTTCATCAGGGGTTCGGCCGCGTGACACTCCTGACAAACTGAAGTTTTTGTCAGCGGTAGAGCTGCTGTGTGACTGACAAAGATATTTGTCACACGGAAGATGGCCCTGCAGGTCCGGCCTGAGCTGCCTTCAGCCAGGCCATTTCATCACGCTTGTTGGTACCCTGTGACTGACGATTCTTTTTTTTTTTGAGATCAGCTGGGGTGTGATGTATAACTGACGAAACAATTAAAATACTACAGTACTGTACTATTTAGATCAACTGTCTGTGTTATGTGTTACATTGAGCAAAAAAAACTCATTGTTAAAAATCACCTTAAATCAAAAGAAAATTTTTTTGGCTCTGAAAATCCAAAAAGGTGCAGACACTTGATCGAAATAGTACAGTATATATAAAAGTCAAGCATTGTTCTTCAAAAGTAGAAAGTCAATTAAAGGACTTAGCAGGACCAAGGCAGAGATCAACCTTGGCTCTACTGAGAACTGATTCAGGATTTATTCAAATCATTTAAAACTCAGTCAAATATACTAGGACTTTGATGGTCTCTACTGGCTTAGAAAGATTTTATTAATTAAATATAAATCCTGTATTCATGAGAACTGTATCAAAACACTTGATCATAATTATTGGTGGGATTAAAGTGGACGTTCATTAAGGGAATGTTAATTGGAGTCTGGCTGGGTGGCTGTGTGATGTGTTGTGGTTTATTTGTTTTTGGCAAGTGTTGAGCATTTAGGCTTGAGCGATCACAGAATGGTGATTGATGTGTTTGGCTGTGTTTGTTCTTGGCAAGCGAAGGGATTTAGGCCTCAAAGATCATAGAATGGTTGATGGAATTACTATAAAAGGGTAATTATGACCGTGGGGGACCTTGCCAATAGCGTAGGCCGGAAGGTCGAGGATGATTTGACATCATGTGTCGTCTTTGGCTGATGAGTCGGACACCAATATATATGGTCGCTACACTCATCGCTGATAACTAGTACACACTTTCGAAGTTCAGCTACATGAGCAAGCTAAGCATATTGGTGTAGATGGTCCAGCCCCCAGAGATTGAGAGTTTTGGAGACCCAAGCAGATTGTACGCTAATTGTGCCTGCACATCAAACTCATCCGAGACCCAACGAAAGCAATCCACCCGTGACTTTGGGAGCGTGTTGCGGAGTTCTCGAACAGCATGTATGTCGACCTTGATTCCCGCGTGATAGAGACCATAGTTCTGAGGATTGTCGAACACCTGGCGTGGGGAGACACCAGATGGAAGGTGCTTTGCAGATTGGCGACGTGTTTTGTGTGTGTTCCAGTAGATTTTGAACTGGTCAGTTGCCTGCTTGACAATGCGAGACCAAAGCCAGTGAAAAAGGTCACTGATTTGAAGTTCAGCTGGCGCAACTGAACCAAAGAAAAGGGAAGAAATTCAGCGCACATATGGATATCATTTGTAATATTCAGATAGTTCTTCTCTTTTCCCAACAAAATGACCGCCTTGAGGTCATGGCCAATGAATTTGAGTAGATAACTCCAAAGAGCTTCGATAGGAATGTTATCTGAGCTCTTCAGCGCCACGGTTGCTGGTGCTTCATCAATAGAAAGCTCGGGAGCAAACTGAGCTCTTCGAAGAAGTAAGTATGAGGTTGAGTAGTGGAATGGAAAGCCACACCGAAGTTGTTGGTGCAGTTGGAACATATAGTGAGTTTCTGTACCTCCATCGACAGTCACCTGAATAGGAATCTCTACAAAACACAATGTTCAGATTCGGACAAGTGGAGAAAGTGGAGAACTTGGGGTTCTTACCGCCCGTTTCCTCAACAAGGTCCAGATATAGATGGCCGACAGTAATACCACAACGGGCATTTGGGACAACATCAAGGAGAAGGACACTGCCACTACCGTGACAGCGGCCACCATACATATCAATTCCAGCACGGCCCATCTGCAATGCTTTGAAGTTCAGCTTCTCATGTCCGTCAAAGTGAAGTTCATAATAAACTCCAACATCGGTCAGTGTCGAGCGCTTCTTCGTCGGCTGCTTTGATGGGAATCGTCGTTCAGCACCATGAGGATCTAACGCTCGCATGGTCGATCGAACGACACGCCTGTGGTGCAAATATTTCAGATATATTATGTAACAAAACCCAGATGCATGACGAACCGAGAAAGTACAATACCATCGACAATAGCAACACGCTTCTGGATCGTATTGGGCCCATTAGTACCGGTGACATTCTCAGACATCTGCTTTGCAATAAGACTCGTGGCAATGTGTTCGGCTGGTGGCTTTCGTGCAGAAGTGACTTTATATTTTTTGTTCAATGCAATAAGTTTTGTGCGGCTGAAGATTGAGCTCAGCTTCAAATTCAAATGCAAGACAAGAACCATACCCAATAACATAGTTATGCTTTGCAGCCAATTGCTGAAGACGGCCCTCAAGAGGGATACCATCAATGGAAAATTGTGTGAGAATGGCAGACAAGTTGTCTGGTGCTGGTATAGCCAGTAACGGTGAGCCAGAATGATAAACTGAGGAAAGCAATAGGCAACATACGGGTGCCATTTTCATGTCCATTCCGTCCAAGAGGGTTGCTCATAACTCTGGCTCAAACTGTGACAGTGGTCGGACAGAACTTATGGAGGGGTACTCTTGCAGTTGCCAATTAAGGTTTATGCATGTGAAATCAGTGTTTTTTCAGGCTCCGGAGGGTCCTTGATGGCAATTTGACTATCGCAAAAAGAAATGAAGCGGGAAACTCTGTTTTCAGCAATCTTTGATGGGAAATCATGTCATGTGATCGCGATCTGGCTCAACTTCGATGCAAGTCCATGCTGCTTGCTCCCTGTTTGAGCTCAAACTTGACAACACCTATTATATTTTTTGTGTCAGATCATCCTGTTTGTGTGCTTACATTATCGTTACTTGCACGTCGAGATTATTCAGAATCCCTCTCTTTTCCGTTCTTGTTCCAATGGCAGAAGTGGATATGTCTACCTTGTGCACCAACCCTACAGACCCCCAGCTGTGCTGTGGTGCTCACTTTCCCTTCAAGTCTGCCTCGGGCACATGCTCCCGTTGCATTGCGCTTCAAGCAACAACAACAGATGAAGAGCGTAGCAAAATTTTGGTCTGTCCTTCATTTTTCTAATCTTTGCTCTCATGCTCCTCCTCAGACTATGCCTTACTGTCAAGGATGTAGTGCCATAATCGCATTTTTGGTTGGTGCCTACTGTGGCCTCTGCAAGACTAAACAAGACCGTACGCATTGCTAGTATACTTAAACCGACAGTTGCTTACTCTATGAGACAGGAATTTCTGCGCCACCCGGAGCCCCTGCACTTCCCCCTACACTGCCAATCCAGCAGTCTAGTGGTCAAATGATGCCCTTAAAAAACCTGAATAACACCGATCTTGCAGCCCTTACAGCTCAGCGAATGCGACAACGCCTTCCAACAGCAGCCAAGAATATTGTCCTAGACTCCGCAACGGTCCTCGGCACCCGTCAAATCTACGTATATATGGTTCTGGCCAAGGTTCATGGTCTTGCGGCAGTTCAAGCTCTTGGCCCTGCCGCAAAACACTTTCCTGATTCAATGGCCTTTGACGGTAATTTATCCTTTCACGATACTGTTCATCGCTGAGCCTAATCAACTTCAGAGGTGTTGTCCCTATTGCTCACCCGATGGAAGTCTGAATGGGAGAGTGGATGCTCAGAAAGCCTTGCACCGTATGTGGTGCAAACTAGTACTTGAGAATTAAAAGTAAACAGGTTATAGCGAGTTCTTACGCTTACGCTTTCACCAAAATTTCCCACCAGAATGTGACAGCCACCTCACAACCATTGGCGACTTCTACGATACTCATAATCGCTTGGACAACACAAGCCGTGGAAAATCCTTTGCACTTCCAGCAAATGTCAAGCTCAATCATCCGTATGTCTACTTGGAGGTGTCAATCCGCATCGAGGAGGTTTGCTCTCACTTGTCTCGCATGTCATGTGCTGATACAGTTCTAGTTTGAGCAGCACAAGAGCTGTCGTGTGCCGCTTTTCATGCTCAAACTTGCAGAGCAAAAGAAGAGAAAGCTCGACCTGTCAAACCTCGACTCGCAAGTTAAGAAGCTTCGAGGTATCAAGCATTCTCGGGTATCCGTCACAATATCTAACAAACTAGTAGCCGAAACATCTGTCTCTCGTCCTCTTGTCTCGACTTTCCGTCCCTCAGTTCTGAAGGCCACTGCCAAGATCACCATTGCATTTGGTAACCTGGTACTTGATGCAACCAACGGAACCGCAAATGTCTCTCTTCCAAATCTCTGTGACGAAAATCTGCAAACTGAGGTCTGTGAGATCGATGATGTCCGTACGGCCAAGGGCATGTCACAGTACGTTTACAAGGTACATTTGTGAATTAGACCTTCATCATTAGCGCTTATGAACTTCCCAGGCCACTCTGGGAACGAGTGCCTATGCATTTAAGCGGTTCTATCATATTGGAACTGGCAAAGATCGTGTTACGCTGGATGAGAATAGCGTGGAAGTGCAAAAGGAAGCAATGCGGTTATTGCAGATGGGCTGGTTCCTTGAGAAGTTCAAGGAGCGTGCAGAGGAATCTCAGGTTGCAATCGAAGATAGTAAGCACTCTGCCCCTTTGACTCGTCTCTTTTGACGGACAAATCCCATGGTAGATATCTGTGTCACAGAGTGTCGGATTATTTGCGAGGTCCCGAACGCCAATTTAGATGCGTCAAAAGCATCTGACTACTCTATCGATGATCTCAATAGTAGTGACGCTCCAATGGTTTGGCTTGTCGAGCCCTTCCGACTTGGACGTGCCGAAAAGTGGAGCGGGACTAATCAGCATCCGACACACATCAACAAACTTGGGGACACACTGACAGCTTTTGCCCATTTTGTCTACTTGCACAGCCTGAAAACAGTTGTCGTGGCTGATATACAGTGTATGTCCTCGCCGTTTACCATTCTGAGTTTTGTCTCACACTTCATTTCACACAGCCACTCGAGCACGGGTGAAAAACAAAATTTGTGAGGTCCTCTTTGATCTCACCACCCACACGGAAAATGGGTAAGTGTATACAACCACAACTGTTATAACTTTGTGCTCATCTCAACAAACAGGGACACTGGTGTCGGTGACCACGGTGCCTCCGGAATCCAAGCATTTGTCGAGCAACATCGATGCACAGCTCGGTGCAAGGCAATGGGATTGGCAGTGTTGAGTGAAGATTAGCCTGTAGAGTTGTACATACTGAGGTGAACAAGACTTGCTAAGTATGTCGCACCGACTTGTGCCTAAGGAACTCGATTTGCGTAGAAGTCATGTGCACATGACTTCTACGCAAATCGAGTTCACTGACAGTCAAAATCATCCTCGACCTTCCGGCCTACCCTATTGCCAAAGCAAGGTGACATGGTTTCTAAAAAAATATTCAGACGCCATCAGGCTGATTCAGGCAATCAGGCGCCCATCACCCGTGCCACGTGCCCTGCACAGCCTGGTCCCGACCCTCATCATCAATTACTACACCAATGGTGAACAGATTATTACTGCAGTGTGTCTTCCTCATGATGTCCAGACGTCACCTGCTTCTCGTCTGCGGGTCCAAATCTCCGACTTGGACGCAAAGATCGCGCTTTTAGAAGCCGAAATTGCGACACTGCAGCACCGCAAAGCGCAGGTCCAGAGCCAGCTCGCCCAGCTGGCGTATTCCATACAAAGGACGATCCCCCCGGAGATTATTCTGGAGGTGTTCGCGCATGTGCTTGCGACGGTCGCGCCGTTCCCCGCCCTCAAATATGAGGGGTTTTCGCCGTTCTATGCAAGCCTCACGCTGGCGAGCATCTGCAGCGACTGGCGGAGACTGGCGCTGGCCTCACCCTGGATGTGGAACTGCATCACGGTTGAGCTCACTGAGGGCGAGTCAAACGACGCGCCGCCGGCTGCCTTGTTGGAACTCTTCCTGTGTCGGTCTGGGGCAGCGCCGCTGGATATCTACGTTTCCACGGGAAAAAAAACATCCGAAACCACAATCGCAGCCGTTATCGAGCTCTTCTATAGATGCTCCCAGCGCTGGCGGACATTTCAACTTTGCGTCCACCCACTGGGTTCCTTGATGCTTTCAGCACTGCCCAAAAACCTGGCACAGCTGCAGTCCCTTTCTCTACACGGCACTATCTGTTACCCCGAAGATAGTGCGCCGGTCCTCGACAGGATCTCCAGCCCACTTCTGCAGTCTCTGTACATGTCTGTCTTCGACCCGCGACTCGCAGCAGCTTCATTGGACCAGCTCAGCGTTGTGAGCCTGTCGCGCGCTTCGCTTAATGGAGTGTACATTCACGACGTTTTGCAACTCCTACTCTTTGCTCCACAGCTCGAAGTCCTAACGGTAGCCTCTGTTCTCGACCAAGACAGGCCACACCCCGATATGCTCCGCGCCGACTGTCTTCATACCCTTGTATGCAACGGCCCGAAGCTCGACATCATCCGTTTCGCGACGCTCCCCGCGCTCCGGTCGCTCACGCTGCGCGAATTAACTGTGGATCACGTGCAGCGCGAGTCGCTAGATCGCTTCCTGCAGCGATCAGGCTGCCGCGTGACGCACATGCAGCTCCAAGACGTGTACGACTCGAATAGTGTCCTGTGGCCCTGCCTGCAGTCGTTTGTCCACGTGGAAGATCTCGTGCTGCAATTCGCGGGCCTCGGCTGGCCACGGGGGACACTGTCGGGGCTCGGCGAGTACGCGCGGGATAACGCCCAGCTGCTTCCTGCGCTGCGCAGGCTCACGCTACGCGGGCCGTCCAAGGAGGCCAATCTCGATGGGCTGGTTCGCCTGATGGAGAACCGTGCCACCAGCGCTACGATGAGCGACGTTCGCAAACTTGCGGTGCATTTTCAGGCCCCGCTGGATTTCTCGGCGGAGATCGCGGCGCTGAAGGCGCTGGACATCGAGGAGGTGGAGGTCAAGGATGTGCCTTTTGAGGAGTTGCTGAGTTTAGAGTATCCCATGAGCTAAGAGCATCACATGAGTTTGTATCGATGAGCACGGCAGGCCTATAATGTTATGCTCCCCTTCCCGTTGTTGGAACTAATAGGCTATCCAATAATATTAATATCTTCTGATCCTCTGAGAACGTCCAAAATTTATTTATGTGTAGTTTATCATTTTGGCTTGTCCCAACTTCAAGTTCCCCCTCAAGCCAAATTTGCTGCTTTCCATGAGAATATTTTCCTCGTCGGCGCCTCAGAGATGTTTATATTTTCCTTGCCCTGAATCATGGGCTTCAATATCTGGCTAGATGCATTAACACCCTGACTCCGCAACGTATGTGCACGCACCTTGAAAGAGCACACCATATCTTCGTCGACACTCATCATTGCTCCAGCGTTGTCGAACTCGCCGCAGTAGTTCGGTGCGGAGAACAGCGTCACGAGCCGGCGCGCGGCGAAGAACTCGAAGCCGTCCTCGACAACCTGATGCGCGCGGCAAACCAAATCGAGGTCGTGTCGCTTAGTGAATGCAGTGACGGCGTCCGCGCCAAACGCGAAGCCCGCACCACGGTCGTTTTCTTCCCAACCTGACAGGCCCGGCGTTGGGTCCGACCAGAGCAGGTCGGCAAGGAGGCCTATGCTTACGGTGAGATACTCGATAATTGTAACATGGAGTTGCTTACCGCTCTCCGGAACCTCTGTTGGCCTTGAGAGCATTCTTATCTGGTCGAGCGAATGCAGGTCGGGGCTGATCCCGCCATGCATCGCCAGTATTCGGTCGCCGATAAGCGCGGCGACAGGCAGGCAGTTAAACGTGTCGCCAAAGGCCTTCCATAATTTCACGCTGTACCGTCGTTTACCTGGAAAGTGTCAGAATTTTCTGTGGAAGTAACCTTGGAAAAAGCGGCGTACATTCGTCATAGAAGCCGTATATCCGGTTCACGGCCGCGCTCTCGTGGTTCCCGCGCAGGAGGAAGAAGTTTTCGGGGTACCGGATTTTATACGCGAGCAGGAGACAGATCGTCTCGAGCGACTGTCGCCCGCGGTCTACATAGTCTCCCAGGAAGAGATAGTTTGACTCCGGTGGGAAGCCGCCATACTCGAAGAGGCGAAGCAGGTCAGGGTATTGGCCGTGTATGTCGCCTGCAGAAAGTTAGATGCGAACAGTATGGTACGGAAGTTGACAGACCACAGACCCGTATTGGTGCCTCGAGCTCTAACAACATGGGCTGGCTCATGAAGACCTCCCTCGACCGCTGGCATAGGTACAGAATCTCGTACTCCTGCAGCTTCACCGTCTTTCCGGGACGGTTACCGCGTCCCTCAAGGAGGCGCTCGATGACGCTGTCGAGGTCGATCTCGATTTTGTGGCTCGGGCCGGGCACGGGTACAGGCATAATCATTCTCCGCTGTGGGCATCAGTCAGTCCGTGTGTCTACACAGGGAGAGGCAACAACGCACTGGGTAAGGTTACTTTGGGGTCAACTCGAAAGCTGTGTACGCGTGTGGCGCACTTAAGAGGGCGACGCGTGTCGGTATCGCGTTTATGACTCGATTTGTCACCTGCTAGCGCGATTGCGTGTGCTGATTGTCGATCTTTACCGGGGAAGTAATTGACTTGTGGAGTGCACGGGGCGTGGGGTGGCGGCCCGCGGCTCATGCGCAGCCCATAGATAGGCTGAGGAGATGCGGCGCCGTTGTCAAAGCGTCGAATCCCTGAAAGCTGTAGAGGACGTAAGATAGGGCAGGGCGAGCATCGAGGCGTTCATATGAATGCCCGGGCGTCGTGCCATTGGTGGCCGGTGTTTCGACGGGCGAGGTTGCCGTGCGGTCGTGGGTGGAAGAAGCAAAGACGGAATGCCGTGATTTTCGAGCGCCGCCAAGAAGATGGTGATGTGTGATGCGCCATCAAATGATTGTGACAATGACATGTCGCCCATGCCGGATGACGACGACCCGCTTGCCGCTCGCCAAACGACTTCATTAATGCGCAGCGTCCTCGTTCATGCCTTCTCTCTCTGTCGCTAGAAGCTCTGTCGCCGCCTTCCAGCCGGGCTATGTTCCCGTTGCCGTCTTCGTGGGGGGGACATCGGGCGTCGGGCAGGCCATGGCGGAGGCTCTCGTGCTCCAACTCAAAGGCCGCGTCCACATCGTACTCATTGGGCGGAATGAGGGCGCCGCGAGGAGGATTCTGGACGGGTTTCCGAAGCCAACTACGGGAGACGGCTGGAAGCACGAGTTTGTGCGATGCAATGTGGAGAGCATGAAGAGCGCAAGGGCGGTGTGCCACGAGCTCAAGGGGAGATTGGCTGCCCTCAACTTCTTGGTTGTCACTGCTGGGGGGCCAAGGGCAAACTCGCTCACCGAGGCAGGTGTTACGGAGGAGGGTCTGGACGACCATTTGGCAACGAGGTGAGTGTAGTACCCTCTTCTGTTACTAAGGCACTCAACTTGTCAGATATTTTGCTCGCTACTTATTCACGAAGGAGCTACTCCCTCTTCTCAAAACCGCCGAGGCCACGGGTCAGCACGCCCATGTTATGACGGTGCTCGGGGCTGGCTTCGGCTTCGGGATTGCGCGGGACGATCTCATGCTTGACCAAGCTCGGAAAGCGTCCTGGGCCTTCTTGCATGGTCTCACCATAGTGCGCTGCTCATTTGCTCCCATTTCGGCGTCTTACAATCACAGAAAATTGCCGCGATGAAAGCTATGATGCGCGGGGTGACCTACAACGACGGCCTCGTTGCAGTGAGCGTATATCTGCCGTGCCAGCCGTTTCTCATAACTTAGCACTTCGCCTCCGCCAACCCATCCATCGCGTTCACGCACATCATGCCGGGCCAAGTGTGGACGGAGGGGGCACAGTATGTCGACCTCGGCTGGGCGCTTTACCCGCTCGCCGTGCTCCTCAACGGCCTGCGCCGGACACTCATGGTGATTCCCCAGGTGCGTCTCCCGTTCATTCCATTTTTTATGTTGCTAATTCTGCTTCCTAGGAGGACTGCGCGCAATACATGCTGCACGCCCTGCTCTCTCCCGAGAACGATCGCGGAGGGGTGTTCATTCGCGGCGACCACGGGGACGTCATCGGCGCGCACGTTTTCCCGCCACACGTCCACAATACATGGGCGGAGGGAGATTCACGGACAGGTTATCTTCATGGCGTGAGGATCAAGGGGTATGGCGGAGCGGACGCGACGGTGGTCAAGCTTATTCGTTGGACAGAAGAGGTGCTGTCGGGGATTGAATGATTTGTCTTCAGTGAAAACTTCAAACTTGTGCTGAACTCAGTAGTATGATACCATTATTGGCGCCTGGTTTTTAATAGTCTTTGGGGTTCAAGTTATCTGGCAAACCTTTCGAGAGACTCGGAGACCAGGCCAACAAGCCAAAAATTGCCTTTCTTTTGGGAAGTAGATTTTGGTGTTTTGACTGGATTTCTTGTCAGAGTCATAGATGCAGACAGTACAGGCAGGGGGGAGTAAATGAACATCTAGGAGATATCGATGTTGTCACAGCAATAATGCAACCTATCTTGTACCTATCACAATACATAACTTGCCATATAATATGAATTGTATCAATGTTGTATTAAGATACTCCATATTGCAACTAGCATTTCCTACTAGTAGGCATTATTAAGTTCCTATAGAAAACAAGGGTTTATAAACTGGGTTATAAACATCCTTATATAAATATAAAACTATAAGGGCAACCCTGGAGACTCCAACGAAAGCCTAGCAGGAGAGGATCCAAAGCGTGAATAAACGCTACAGAAGTACACGGAGGGACCGACCTAGCAGGGGAGGATCCAAAGAGAAGAAACTCTTAAGGGTCTGCCTACTAGGGCACCAACTATAAACTGGTCATCCGTAACTGCCAGCGTAGAGCGTGGAAGGCCTGAGCGGTGTTGCAGGCTCTGTCCCAAGGTGATCGTTGGGAGGGTCTTGACGGATCAGTGATTATGCGGGCGAAGGAGGCCAAGGACGAGGGTCGGAGTAGGTTGGAGCATCCGAGGGGGCGCCGGTCGGATGCGCCTCAGATGCGCTCGGACGGTCCGAAGGAGGCTGAAGCAGGGGTTCCCCTGACAAAAACAGGCTCTAATTGCAATTAGTTTACAGATTGAATGGTTTTATGATTGGCTCCAATGATGATTTATCATTACAGTAGTGTTTTACTTATTATCAATCAAGGTCAAGAAAACTTTTAGCTTGAAGATTCTTAGACTTGATATTAAGTTGGACAACTATTTTTAAACCATTTAGAGCATTTGTTAAATTTTGTGTACAGGGTCAGGTAAAACCAGAAATGGTTTTAACCCGTAGTAGTAGTGTACAAATGTTTGTATAAGGAAATAGTTAGAAATTTTATGTAGGGCTGTAGACCGTACCGTATACAGCTACGGCCATGTACGGTACGGCCTCTGATGGCGCCAGGACGGCCCCACGCCATACCATAAGCCCTCGAGTTCAAGGTGCTTACGGTACGGGACGGCCCTTACATCAGGGAAAAAAAACAAGTCTAGATAGTACTCAGTAGTGGGAGTAGCTAAGGTAGTTGGGGAGACAAGTACCCCACTGGGTAGAGCTGGGTAGTACGGGCGTCACCAACGTCCCGTTGCCATACCATCAACTTGGTCCCTAAGGCACACTGTCAATATGTAAATTTAGGTTTTGCTTAAAATGTTACTTAATGAACTTGTTGAAGTGCTTCTTACAATGTTAGCTTCCAAGAGTGTTATAAGTTTTTCCTAAAGTTATTCTCTAAAGCACTGGTTTAAACATCTGTTTAAGCATGGACTTTATTGACTTTTTTAAGCAACATCCTACACAAATACTAAAAGGACTCATTTAAGCATCTTGTTGAAGATCTACCAAAAATTGAAGAAGTGACTTAAACTTCAATGGAGTGACTTAAAATTCAACAAGTATAAGTGTCCGTGCCTGTGGCATGGACTACAGTAATAACAAAGAATTTGCAGCGCCCACACGGCCGCTCGCCTGCGGCTCGCAACCGGCGGGCGGTATCCGAGGGGTGGCACGTGAATCTCACGTGTTTCACGTGCGTCCGCATGACTTTCTGTCAATGCCGGCACGGTAGTGTTTTCATATTCACCCCGAGGAATGGGAACAAAACTGGAGGATTTTTTTAAATTTTAATTAAGGTAATAATGACCCCAAAAAGGGACACCTTTATTTGTTGGGGAAAATGGATTTAAAAAGACCCAATAAGTAGAACAGCAATCTTATCAGAAAAAAAAGAATCAACATTGTTATACAAAAAAGCCTCTTATGCCCAGATATCTTCCATTTTTCCCACATATGCACCCTTTTTCTCCTACAATCTGAGAAACATTTTTCTGGTCAGATTTCCTTCCTATCTAGTTGACATTATTTAAACCTTTTTTTCTAATCAATAAAGGTCACCATTTTTTCAACCATTATTACCTTCATTAAAATTTAAAAAAATCCTCCCATTTTCTTCTCAGTTGTCAGGGTGATTATAGATTTTTGGTGGATCCTCAACAAGATTCTTAATTGAGTCCCTTCAGTATTGGTTTAGGATGTTGCTTAAAAGACTCAATAAGGTCCATGCTTAAACAGATGTTTAAACTAGTGGTTTAGGGAATAACTTTGGGAAAAACTTACAACACTGTTGTAAGCTAACATTGTAAGAAGCACTTCAACGAGTCAATTAGGTAACATTTTAAGCAGACTCTAAATTTGTATATTTACAGTGTGAGGGGCCTTACGGTACGGTTACGGTGCCGTATTACGGCCGGCCGTACGCCCTATATTACGGCGACGGCCTACAGCCCTAATTTTATGTGATAACGTGGAATAGCTCTTAATTGGTGTTAACACAACTGAAAGAGCCGCAGAAAAGATGAACCTTTAGCATACTAGATTAATATTATCACATGCAGCCATTTGTGCAAGCAGAAAGTATCAGTATAATCATGTCACGGTAGTTTTTTTCTCCAAACGCGCTGCCTCACACGCCCCCCGCCGCCAGCGCCTGTTTGCTCTCGAGGAACCACGCGCGGATCTGGGCGGCGTCCATCCCCGCCGTGCGGTCTACGACGACATCACAGCTCTGGCGATGGTACCCCTCAGAGTGCGCGGTGAGTTGGTTAATAGACGCGGAGAGGGGGAGGTCGAATAGATAACTAGAACCAGGCGTTGAGATATGAGGGAGGGAGACGGCAAGGCGCACCCGTTGAGTTTGCATTCGAGACAGAATAGCTTGTCCCCACGGACAGATGTGCACCAAAGAATTTCGTCGAGCTGTGCGCGGGAGAGGCGCGGCGGAGAGGGAATGGGTCGGGGATCTGGAAGATGTAAGGCCTGAACAGAGCTGAAATAGGGCAATGATAACACACCTAGCACAGGCTTCGGTTTCTTTACGGGCTGAAGCTTAAGCGGGCTCGAGGTGTCTGCCCATGGCTGAATAGGCACCAGACGGACCGGAGTTTTAGGGTCGACATTCGCCTCAGCAAGCCCACTGCCCATCTCGTCTTGCACAAGCCAACGAAGATAATAGTTCTTCAGTGCCATGATGATCCGATCGCGCTCCGTGGCGCTAACTTCTGCCACTGACGCTAAAGCAGGCCCATGTTGAGCAGCACGCTGAAGCTGGTCTAGTATACGTCCCCATGACTTGTCCGTAAGCTACGTGAGAATCGTGAGATTCTTGTGAGGGTTAGTGGGTATTGCGTTTGCGCACCTGTCTTCCTCCGCCTTGGTTCTCATGCTGCACCAGCAGTATTAAATGGCGCGTCTCGAACTCCGCATCCATGATCCTGAAGCGAGAAGACCTGACCGACGAAGTGGGGGCTTCCAAGTCCACGAGACGCTGCCGCATTTCATTCAACTCCACTGTGCGCTGATGTAATTCTCCTTGCAACGTAGTCTTCTCCTGTTGTAGATCGGCGATCACCTTATTTGCATCATCGGCCAACCGAAGCTTCTCGTCCTCCTTAGCTTGCAGGGCACTTTCGGTCTGCTGAAGGCGTGCCGCCAAGTCAGCGCTCAACGCATTTATGATGCTGCTATCTGCCGTCAACCGGGTGTGTTCGGCCTCGCGCTCCGTCACGTTCTTGCGCATGTCCTCCATTACCGACTGCAGCACCTGCGCGGCCCGGTCTTGTGCTTGTATCTTGTTCATCAGTTCGGTGTTTTGCTGCTGGAGCCCTGTTCGTGCCTCCTGCTGCGCCTCGAGTTCCTGCTGCTTCGCTTCGAAAGCCGCTTCTTGCGCCTGAACCATACGCTTGAGCTCCCCAGTTTCCCGTTCTCCATCGGCTAGGGCTTGTCGTGCAGTTTGCATGTCTTTTTCTTTCTCGTCCGCCATCACACGCAGCATAGCGACCTCCTCGGTCAGGGCATCATGCCCTGTAAGCAAATCGTGCGTCATTTCTGCTGCAGATGCCTTTTGCTCTTCCAGGGCCGCGTGCAACCGCCTAACCTCGCTCTCATCCGTTGTAAATCGATTACTCTCCAACTGCGTCTGCAAAGCCACCGCCTGTGCCCGACTGGCCTCCGCCTCGCCCCTCAGCATCGCTGCCTCCTGCTCTAACCGTGTCTTGTCCGCCATGGCCCCGCTGAGGACGGTGAGCACCTTGCGGACGTTGCCCACTTCATTGTCAGTCAGCTCGATCCCCTCGGGCAGGTCCAAATCGCGCAGGAGGGTGTCTATCTGGGACAGCTCCGCTTTAGTAGCAGCATATTGGGTTTCAAGTACTCCGTGGGCCGCCTTTAGGTGCGCAAGCTCGTCTTCGATGGGCCCCAACCCTGCCAGGAGGTCGCTGACAAGCTGGTCGTCTGCGGTGTTAAGCAGATGGGTGGTCGGAGCGCCAGTCCCACCAGTGATCATGAGCTGGGCTTGCAATTCGGTGTTTGTCGCCTCCAGCGTGTCGAGCTGGCCGCGGACAACGTCGCCCGTCGCGATGGCTGACGTTTTGTCAGTGCTAGTGGTCGTTAACAATGAAATTCGCACCTGCGTCCCTTTCCTGCGCCAGGCGCACATTTTCTGCTTTCAACCGCGCAACCTCTGATGTCGTCTCTAACTCCGACTCGGGCGATGGAGGCGTAATCATAGAGGTTGACTCGAAGGCGTTCAGGACATCTGAAGGTGGGTCCACATCCATCGCATCGTCGCCTGGCCCGGCCTCTAGTTGGGGTTGTGCCGCCTGCAGCCGCTCGACCTCTCTCCGCAAACCCGCGCTTTCCTCCTGGGCCTTGACCAACTGACTCCTCAACTGCGTGATTTCGTCCAGATTGCGCTGCCTGGTTGACGCGAGCATCGGCGGCTTCGGGCCAGGCTTCCTCCGCGGAGGCTTTCCGGTGCCGTCTGCTTGCGAAGCGGGTGGTTGGGAGGCGCCCGGGGTGTGCACATGCTGGGAGGCGCTTGCTGGGGGGACGGGGGCGGAAACAGACCGGGACTGTGTAGAAAACTGGCTGGCCGTACCAGCCAATTGGGGAGGGGCTTCTTTCCCAAACATGTAGTTCTTCACGACAATTGAGTCTGCATGTGGATTCGGCAGCGCGCTTGGAACTCGAAGATGGGCGGGCTGCGACGATGCGCCAACTGGAATTCGTGGGATGTCTAGCACGCCAATGAGCGGCGGCGGCGGCGGCAGTGCACTGTTGGACCCCGCTCTAGGACGTTTGGAGGTGTCGGTGCCTGTGTTGGGCGACGTCGCAGCGCGTTTGAGCGGGTTTGAGTTGCTCATGCTGGAGGGGCCGGACATCGGTGCCGAGGACAGTTCGGTCGTCCGCGGGCTTTGGGACTGCAGAGACGTGCTAGCACGGCTCAGAAGCGTGTGTACCTTGACTCTGCACCGGAAATTAGCCCCATGAACCGCAAAAGAATGTTGTTGTACGGCTTTTCACTGACGGGCCCGGGTACAGATTTTTCTGGGCGGTTGCGAAGTTATTGTGGTCGGATGGTTGAGATTGTAGGCACTAGGATCTTCAGTGACGACGTTCAGATGCGCGTTGCAGCGAAATTGTGGTGGAGAGAGTAAGTAACCGGTTACTGGGAGAGGAGTGTGTCACGCCCGCGTGATCGTGACTGATATTTTGATTGGCAGACAACATGTGTAAACAACAGATGATCCGATTAAAATTTGCATCCTGGACCTAGTACTTAATGATTCGAGAGACCATTGGAACGCCAGTTCAAGTCTTCAAGCCATTCGTGGCAACATATCAGTGACTTTATGCATGCTAATTTAGAGTCCGAGGGCCCCCCGATTATTCGATGGTCTAAATTACTTCCTCCAAGCGTGCCTTACGATCGCCGACGCTGGCATCGTCTGTGTAGGCATCCACCGGCCCGGGTGCCACTTTCCCCAACGTGTCCATGCGCGTCGCGCGTTCCCGCTCCCGTTGGCCACCCGCAGTGCCAGCGGCGGTGCTCCGCCCCGCGAAGCTGATGCTCACGTGGTCGTGGTCATGGTCGGTGCCGTCGTCGGTCGAGTCGCCCGCGGCGCCGAAGCGGCGCGTGGTGAGGTTGAACAGGAGCGTGCAGCCGTAGAGCCGGCCGAGGAAGAAGCCCGGCGTGAGCGAGATGGTCGTGCGGGGGTAGCGAGCGAAAAGGATGACCATGATCGTCGCGACGAGCGCCGTTGCGCTGCCTGTCTGTACCGCACTGACGGTGAGGCGGTGGATCATGCTGCGTCACGTGAGGAGCGTCAGATTAGATGTTGATTAGATAATGCTCGAGCACGCACGAGCGGGTCCGCTTGAAAGTCGCGCGGTAAGAGCGGAGTTGGTAAACGAGAGCTGCGGCGATGGCGATGTCGGTGACGGCGGAAGAGATGAGCCAGACCCTGCCGCACAAGTCAACAAGGAAACGCGCCACAACCGAGCGTGGGACGCACATGGAGATGGGGACGATTTTTTCGCGCTCTAGGACGCTCTTGTGGATGACGGAGACGATGCCGGTGCCGAATCCGCCCGCGACGGCCGTCGTAGAGCACACCACGAGAACGGCGCAAACAACGTAGTTTTTAGAGCTGGGTGGGTCAGGCGGAGCACGTGGGCGGCGCTGATCATGACGTACAGTCTGCCGTAGCGCCATATGAGGTAGAGTTGCACGATGAACCCGCTCGCGCCGGAAGTAAACGCCTAGTCCAAGTCAAGGGTCAGACGTCAGGAAGGGCGCCAAGACGACGACGCACGTAGATGGTACCAGGCCATGGGTTCCACATCAGGAACTCGGGGTCGCCCCAGTGAGTGACGAGGAACTGCGCAGTCAGTGGAGAGAAGTCCAAGTCAGGCAAGCAGCGCACCAGGTAAGTGTAGGCAGATACCCCAATCGTGCCAATCGTATCATTGAGCAATTCCAGCGCGACGACTCCGCGTACAAGTGTTGTGTTGGCACCGGGAGAGCGCACTGTCAATGCACAAACTAATCAGCAGCGGGCCACTTCCCGGCGCAGACACACACACAGTTGGTAGTTGAGAAGAACTGGTACGCGAGGAGCAGCTCCAACATGTAAAACATCGCATTGAACCATGTACCAACCAGCAGCGGCCTGGTCGTTTGTCTTCAGCCGTCGTCAGTGAGGGGAGCGAGGACTCACGCAAAGATGTTCTCCAGCGACGCAGCCAGAGTCGTCGCCATGGTGGAGGCAGGGGCGACTGCCATCCACTGCGTGAACTATATATACTTATATTGGTTCCTTTTTTTCGAAGCCTGCATCATGATCCCCTGAATGCAAGCGTCTGACGTCGCTAACCGCGGCCGCCACCTTACGGCCCGCCGAGTTGTGCACTGTGTGCTGTTCTGCAGCTTGGGCGCGTGGCGGACCCAGCGCGCCAGCGAAATCAACAGAAGAGAAGCCGATATGCTCCGATATGTGTTCAGGGCTGGGTAGTGGCCTTTGCTACTCGATCCAGCGTAAAAGGGGCTGTTGGCGGATTTGCAGATCTGCGGTGGCGGAGGCAGTTCATCACCGCTAATGTCATCCCCGTGAGATTTGCCATCGAGTTCTCAAACTGGCCCATTTACAACCCAAAATTTGCTAGGGAATACTGAGGCAATCGAAAATTTCATGGCTGTAGCAAACAAAAAAGTTGCTACAGTCGAACCCCTCTTAAGTCATACCTCTTGGTGGAAGGGTCAAATCATGACTTTTGAGAGGTTATGACTTTGGAGGGTTAGCCAAAAAAAATTAATGAATTTATTTTTTCCTTTTTTTAAATGATATCATAGCCGTTTTACTTGTAGGAAATCTGTGACATATGACCATTGCATGTACATATACTGTACTATATGTAGTCAAGACCTTTTTTGTCTAATTTTGGGATAAAATCAACAGATTTATAAGTATTGATGTCATCAAAACCATCAGAAATGCCCTCTTTTGGATGGAATCATGACTTGTTCCACCTGATTTGGGTATAAGTTATGCCTTTTCATAGACCTATGACTTTTCCCTGCAAACGGAGCTGGTGGAAGCTAAAAATCATGATATTAAAGGGGTTATGCCTTTTGAGAGGCATGACTTAAGAGGGGTTTGACTGTAATATAGATATCCCTAAGTTTGTGTCCAATTTTGATAAAACCAGATAAAACTACATTTGATCTCCAGATTTGCTTCAGACTGTGGCACACCACAGATTTACAGGCCAAGGGGGAAGCATGATGGCATCAATGCCGGTCGGTAGGTCCCCCAGTGGGCCTTAAACTTTTTTTTGTAGTGAATTTTTTTCAAGTATTAGGCATTAATCAATAAGTGTAAGGAGATGTTTCCATAGGTTCTCAGTGTAATATGAGGCTGTACATACAATTCTCTGCATCTCATCAATGAACTTCATTCACATATCTGGATTCTAAGTCTATGGACAAAAGTCAAATCCTATTCTTTCCTTATAGGAGCTATAATGAGTGGCTAGATATAGTACAACAGTTTATAAGTATTATTTCCAGATGAGTCAATCACATGATCCTGTGAAATACCTGCCTAAATAGGCAATTGTCACGCATGTCACGGTCGGTTGGTCCAGCTGTGAGCCCTTAAATTTGTTTTAGTGTGTATGTTCCTTAAATTTGTTTTCCCTCCCCCTTGGGACAATTTTAGCAATTATGAAGACATCAATATCATTTGATGCACCTGTGTTCTGTTTATAATCGACAATATTAATCTTATGACGACTCAGACCTTTGACTGAACAACAGTGTAGTATGGTACCAAATGTAGTATAAGTAGAGCACAAGGATTGGATGTTACGCAGATATCTTCTTCGACTGACGGGTCAGACGGGACACTGGGAACTGAGCGCCTGTAGGCCACGTGTCCACGGTCACGCGGCATGACGCATGGCGCTGACGGCACGCCACCAACGCTGACTTGCGCTCGATTCTTGCACTCATCTCATCTCCGGCTACAATTCATCCCACTCTCGCCAACGGAGACAGTACTTATCTTCACGGCGAGGTAAAGCTATAGTTTCGTGCGTCCCTGGCTGACTCCTGATTGCGCAGCAGATCTTGAAGAAGGCGAAGAAGCGGCCTCGTGTGCCTATCGATTCTGATTGCCCACTGCCCCTTGACGGGATACCACGACTACCACGACGATGCAGCCGCCAATAGACGACGCAGACGACCCGCCCCCTTTCCAGGCCCCGACCGCACTGCCTATGCCTCCGGAGATGGAGTCCACGGGCAACGAGCTGAGCACATCCGCTTCCACCATCCGCACCCTCCCCCCACGATCCCCCCTCCAATCTCGTCCAACACTTCCCCCAACTCTCCCCCACTCTGCAGCCCCACCGCCGAGCCCGACGCCGTCCTCAGCGTCGGGCACAAGCAGCTCTTCGCTGCTGTCGCTGGAGGGCGAGTACGATTCAGGGATGGAACTCGACTCCGTGTCGAGCAGTTTCTTCTTTAGTTCTGCCGCTGCGAGCCCGCCGCAAGCGCATCATCACGGCCACGACCATGCGACCGAGCTGGTGATACCGTCGTTGACGTTGCCCGGCGCCGCTGCTTGTGAGGGAGAGGAAGAACAAGCGCAGAAGGCGGCCCCCACAAGCGCGGATGTTGGTTATGGGTGCGGATTCTGTGGAGCAGGTGTTGCCGGAAGGCTGGAGAGTGGAAGACGAAGAATGCGACCCGGATTGCAGGCGGGTGTGGCTTACCAAGGAGGAGGAGGGAATGGAGCTGGTATTCGTGAATACAGTGCGTTAAGATGTCCTGTCTGTCCTCTGCTGACTGATTTATTCAGGCGACGACTTCTACCTTGATATCGTTCATCCTCGACCCATTCCGCGCACTCGTCCGCGTGCTGACGCTGCCCGAAAACGATCTACAAGCGGAAGAGAACAAGCTGCTGCTTTTGGATCTGTTGGCCTCCGAAGGCTCGCCGACCTATGCCGCGCTGCTCGTTGTGCCTGGTTACGAGCTTGCTGTGGAAGAGGCGATTCGGCGGCTAGTGCCCGTTGTCGTGCTGCAGTCAAAGCAGATGAACGTAGACCCCACCATGACGGTCACTGTGCTGTCCCCTGCCGCAACTGAGCTGTTCGTATTTGACCCGTTGGAGAATATCCCCGAGGAGCCCGAGCCGTTGACCGCAGTACCCCAGCCACCTCACTTCAACCTACCTACCCCCCCGCAGCTACTGACCCTGAAGACACAGGCCGCGGCGCTCTTCCTAGACTGGTGGGCAGCTGCGCGTCGACCGTCGTCACGGTACCATCGCCATTTACCCCAACTACCACCACCCTCCCGTTCATCGTCAGCATCACGACCTCGGAGAGCCAAACGCAAGGACACAGCAGGGTCAGATTCACATACGCCTTTCGGGTATACGCATGCGCCAGTCAGCCTCGCAGACCCGCTACACCTACCCAGCCTTGCGCGCCTTGTCAGAGACGTCGTCGCTGCCCGCTTGGGATTCCCGGAGCTCGGCACGGTTAGCGGTATGTTGCTGGGCTTGGGGGTTGGGGTTGTGTTGGGGGCGTGGCTTGCTGGCGGGTATACCAGGGTCGGGGGATGAGGATGCGACTGGTTTGACTCAGTGGATGCATACTTTTGTGTCTTTTGTGTATCTTACTGTAATGCTGTATCTATCTTGCACTCTTTTCTGTTGTCTTGTTCTGGAACTTCGATGCTGATCAATCGACAGTGTTATCGTCCCCCCCTAGGCCCCATGCCCACCACTCCATGCCTGCCATGCAGAACTCCAAAAGCTCCTCCTGTTCATCGCTGTATTCCTCCCGCACCGCGATCTTCTCCCTCAAATTACGGACTTCGCACTGCGCCATGTCGCGTTGGTTCTTGTACATCTGAGCCCGCACTTCGAGCTCTGCAACCTGGCGGTCTTTGACGTTTGCTTCCATGTCGCTCGCGGCTGGGGACGGCTCGCGTTGCTGAATCTCGAGTTCCATCTGAGGAGTCGCGGATGGTTTTTCGTCGTGCTTCTCAGGCAACTTGAACGCCACAGTAGAGTAGTGGTGAGATTTTACTGATTTAGATGAAGAGCACCCAGCACGCACCATTTTTTGCAGGGCCTGATTCAGATGATTCCTCGGGACACTTTATCGCCGTCATGCGTGCGCCGTGCAGTTAGGTCTGAACGTTGAACCTAGGCCTTGGTCTGAACTGGGGTGCTGGAGAGGATAGCGATATAGAAGGAAGGGATCTAGAGGGGAATATGGTGGTCGACAGGCAAGTGAGCGCTCTAAATACAGAAACCACACACCCACAGTGCCGTACTGTGCTGAATGGAGATGCGATTTCTTGCGTGTTGCGTGTTGCGCATGACGTGGTGCAGATCTCATCATCTGGTATCATGCTGACGCGCTGGTCATTACGCCATCAAGACGACATGTCCAAGGGAGTAGCTCGTGGGAGTGTAAGTACGAAGAATACACTGTCGTCGTCTGCCGAGAGCGAATCGTCGTCAATCGATCTAACTTTAATCCATCGTCCCAACGCCGGGCACTACTTGAATGCCCGACTCTACTTCATTTGCAATTTGGCTTACGAGGATCTGCCAACTTGATTCTTGAAGGTCTGTGACTCGCCAGTAATTGTATGCTATCTTTCTGCGACTTCTCATTGTAGTCAAACAACGCCCAAATGTAGAGATCGCAGACAGTCGCAGACCAGAAATTGTTCTCTGAGTCATGTCATACTTAATTGTCATTGCGTCACGGGATGATCACGCGATGACAGCCTCAGCCTGTTGACAGTGCCACCAATAACTTGAAGCTTCACCCACAACCATGAGCACAACACTTCCCATCGAACTCATCGACGCAGTGCTGGACAACATGCATGATATCCCCTCGATGAAGGCTCTTTCGCTCGCCGCATGGTCTTTCGTCGGCCCCTGCCAGCGCCGTTTTATGCACACCGTCGGGCTTAGTGACGCCAATGTCCTCCCCGTGCTCTCCCTCGTGAGGGAATCACCCCATGTTGTCAAGAGCGTCCGACGACTACACATATGCCCGCAGCAGCGCGTCCTCGTCCTCCCCGCGAAGCTGGAGGCTATGGTGACGCTCCTCAACTTGCTTCCTCCGCTCGACGGCTGTGTTATTGATGGCAAGAGCTGGGGCGGGGGCTGCTTTCTGTGGACGGATGTTCCGGAAGAAGTTGCTTCGGCCATCGGCGCGCTCCTCTCTAAGAGTCCCGGTGCCGTGCTTCATCTGCACAACATATCCGCGTGGACGCTCCCTTCGATGCCCTGGCTCTTCCAGGTGCGGTTTCTCAGCTTTCGGTCGACGACTAGCGATCCGGTCCGGCTATCCGGAGTCAATGCCACCGCGCACCACGGCGCTCAGGCTGCTAATAGTTTACTCCGGCATCTCTTTCTCTGCCCTTCGTCTGGGTCTGTGGCGCAGAGTATGACAGAATCACCCGCCTTCACACATATATACCAAAGACTGGAGCATATCTCGTGTTATCTTGGCTCGCACACGCTCAGATTAATTGTGCTCACGACACGGACCCTGAGGACTCTACATCTCTCTATGGACAATTCCTTGCGCGGAGCCAATCTCACCGGTGTGTTAAGTGCTACATCCGTATCCCGTTCTCCCATGCTTAGACTCCTATACAGCGTCATTGCCGGAGTTTCCTGTATTGCAACGCCTGACAATCGAGCCACTCACAGGACAGAGTGCGGATTTGGGTGGTGTCGACGTCATTTCCCGCATCCTCAATCCAAAGATCTCCCCCGTGCTTGCGGAATGCCGCGTTATATGGGCCCGCGTGCAAGCGGGGACGGATTCTGAGACTGCTGCTGGTCCCACTATTGTCACCGCCTCGCCGTCCTGGCATACCCGCTTCGTTCGCATCACGGCTGCGCTAGCGCTCCATCCAGCGACACCGCAGGTGACTTGGGTCCTTCAGCCCGCTCTGGATGTCCAAGTCGATGCAGACGTCTTCGCTGAGCGACTTCGGCTTGACTCTTCAGAGCTCGACGGGAATGGCAGACTCGGCTTCGAATACAAAAACTTGCCTTCTGTGCCACATATGTTTACTGGATGGCCCCAGGTTTCACTCAACTCGTGATATAAGCCTGAGGCTTTGTGTCAGTATTTACTCGGATGGCTGCTTTGAATTCTACTAGTAGGGCGAATACTTACTTACTTACATCATCTACTCGTAGTTACTCCCAAGTAATAATACCCTTTGAAGCTGAAGAAGTTTGTTCTACTCGCTTAAAGTCTCGTCGTATGTCATCGAGCTCCCCAATTTTCGTAACCAGCTCGCCTTACTAGTATTAAAATATTCATTGTGCATGTCATCTCCCAACCCTCAACGCAAGGTGTTCCTCTGAAAGGAGGATTGCAATAGCATCTAAAAAGTACAATGGCTTACAATACGTCCTTCGTTATACTCTTTCAATTTACCTCTTTTGTCCTTGGGTTTGCCTACTCCTGGTCTCAATCCCCACTCCCTATCACAGGTCGACATAGATTCCAGCGTCCTTACGCGCCTTGGTCATCGCAGCGATGATAGCGCTACCAACACCGCTCCCGTCTTCGGCATGGTGCGTCACAATGTTCCTACGCCAATGACTGAGTGCAAGAATAGATGGTGGAGATAACATCTTACCGCCCCTTGTCGCCGAAGACATCCTGCAAGCCTTCATGAACTCGGTCCGCGAATCCGGGGTATTTCTACGCAAAGCATCAGTGAGACAGAAAGAGAAGATGAGAGAAACTTACATTATACAAGGACCCGTCCGCACCCACGGAGCATCCCTCCTCTAAATAGCCCATCTTGCTCACGATCGCCGCAATCCCACACGCACTCAGTCTTGCGGCCCTCCTCCCAATGAGCTTCGCAAGAGCGCGGAAGAACTGCCGCTCCGCAAGCGTGGTCTCCAGTGCGAAGAAGTGGGTGAATATGCCGATGGCCATAAGTAGTTCGTCTGTCGGGTCCGACTCCAAGAGCGACAAGAAGGCTGTGTCGAAGGCATACGGGACTTCAAGTTTATATGTATTTTGGCCAAGGAAGAGGACACCCTCGTCAATGAGCTCGCACAGAACGAGGCGAAGAATTTCACCGAGGTATCGACCAGAGATAAGTTTCTATCTCGATATCAGCTTTACCATTCAAAAGACCGGAAACATACTTCGAAAGCCTGCTCTCCTGGCTTGTTCGATGTCTCGTCCACTATCTGGTCGTACTTCGTTCTGGGTAGGTGCTCATGCTCGAATGAGTCAAACGCTCCCCACTCGCAGTTTATTGCCATCTGCCCATCCAGGCCAATCCCTACGTCGTGGATTTTGGGTATATCCTTCACGTACTCCATATAAGCGGCATTACAACCCGTCCCAAATATGACGGCAATCTTGTTTTTGGGATTGACATAGTTAGACGCGATAAGGGTGCCGGTTGTGTCATTGATGAGCGCCGTTAACTCAATGGGTAGCTCGAATTTCTCCAGAGAGGCACGGAACATGGCTGCGACATCATGACCTTCAGTGTTGGGAGCCCCAAAGCCCTTGGTCCATCGAATAAGCTCTCCATGGTCAATACGCTCCTGCGTGCAAGGATACGAGAACTACTCCGCTCGATCATTTTTTCTTGAACGTGAAGAGACACCAGACACGCACCGTGAACCCCAAAGGTAGTTTCTCCCCTGGCTGCAGTTTAAGACCGCTGTTCTCGTCCTGCAGATTCGTATCGACGAACGTCTTCAAACATTCGGCGCAAAAGTCGAAAAGCTTTTGACCCTCCTCCTGCTTTTGCTCCTCCGTCAGTCGGTACTTGGTTTGTGTAACCTCGAATTTGCCCTCTCCCTCGAGGGTAACAAGACAGACACGCAGGTTGGTACCGCCTTGGTTGAAGGTGAGTAGTTTTAAGTGCGTATAGATTATGACGCACCAAGGTCGACGGAGAGATAGTCGCCCTTTTCCTGTCCAGTTGGCCAGCCGAATACATAGGTGGGTATCATGGGCTACAGATAGTGTTAACATGAGGAAAGAAAAGAATGCAAATGGAAAGAATGGAGGGAGAACAAGCAGGGTGCGGTCGAAAGCAGGATCCCAGAAGCATTCCAATAGATAGTGCTGACGCCGCGAAGAAATATGATACGCGTCTGGCTGAAGATGACAGCAAGAAGGGATGGGGAACAGAAAGGGAAAAGTAGTATAGGTCACATACCACAGTCTGCTTGTGCTTCGACAGACCCAACTCAAGCGTGTCTTTGAACGCCTCGACAATCATCCGCATCCGCTGCGGGGTCAGAGTAAATCTGCATTCACGCAACAAAAGACAGACATCAGTGCACATCGCGCGCCAAGGGCAGGTCGGACCACGCACAGACTCTCGTATTTGCGTAGATGGTCGGCCATCGTCCTAGCCAGTAAGGTGAGACATGAAGAGCAGCCGTTGTAAGAAAGGTAACGCACTTTTTGGTTGCATGAGGAAGGTCTTCCTCATCATGGGTGCGGGTATGCATCGCCATCGTCTGCCCTGAAGGCAGCACGATACTGCCGCTGCCGCGTCGCGAGGCTGGCATGGCTGGTCTTGCGTGCGATGAGGAGAAGTGGGGTTTGGTGCGTGACGTCACCGTGAGAGATGTTGATGATTTGATCCGACCATTCAATTTCGTGTGGTCAACAGCTTTCCCTTCCCTAGCAATTCAAGGCAGATGATACCGGCAGACAACTTGGCCCATGCCCCCACTTGCCCGCTACCCAACGAACACCAGTATTCGCAGCTGGTGGTCAGACAGCAACCCCGCTGGCGCAACTATCAACCTTCATACCTTGGCGAAACCCCTTCTGCGGGTCATGTACGACCGGGAGGTCAGAAAGTTGCTGAAGCTTGGTCCGGGAAACGAGAACTCGGGAGAAACGGTCGCTCTACTCATGCGGTATCTTGGGTATGTCAAAAACCCGTGTCTTCAGTTGGATTTATGTGAAAACCCTGCCAGAGCACGATATGTGGCGGCATCCACCAAAATCGTCATTCTCGGCAGGCTATCTCGAGTTGTGCCGGAATATCGTGAGGCTCTCTTGGAGTATAGGGATTGTATCACCACACTCCTCCACACAATCGACACTCGAAACTTGAGTGTTGACACGCCAAACAACCGGGAATTTCTGCGCACAATCTGCCTCATTGGTTTTCCGCCTCTGCCTCCGCTTAGTGTTGCCGACTGTGCTCTAGCGCTCCTTACGCGTGCGCCAAGTGCCAGCGAGAGACCCATGTGAGTGTCCGCATGTTCGGCTTTCGGGTTTACCTCAAGCTAGTTACCAGGAAAGCCAATCGGTGGGGCAATCTTGTCGAGTTCTCTCTCTGCGCTACGGACGGTGAACCAAATGGGGGCATTTTCGTGTGGACAGAAGACCTGTGAGTGCCTTTTTTGACTACGCAGCGGAATGGATATTAACAACGAATCAATAATTCTACTATAGCGTGGAGCCTGAAAACTCATCCGGCACCCAAAACTATTTGCTCAGCGGTCAGCAAAACCCACAATTCCTCTCTGTACCACTCGATGATACGTTGCTCCCCATGTACGAATGAGTTGCAGGCGTCGATGTGACCTTGGAGGTGAATACATTCAGCAGACAGTGATGTAACCCTGATTTGAAGTTTTTGAATGATATAGCTACGTCGTATCGAGCAATCTCTGTACGAACTTCCGCGAGCCTGTGGGGGGAAAGGGTGAAGTTGGAGCACAGGGCAGCTCGGACGGCGTCGGTGTTATCCGTTATCCGCAGAGGGAATCAGCTGGCGAAGAGGCAACGCGCGCGATTGGCCATAGGAGATACGAACAAAAGAAGGCTGAAGGGAGACTTGATGAGCAATACTTACCCATGGGTGTAGAGAACTAAATCTTCATGAGTAGATATGTTCGGACTGCGGAGAACTTAGCCAAATGGACCTAACTTCAACCCCAAGTTAACTGATGATCGAGGTGATGCTTTTCTACAGCACTTACTACAGTAAAATTGCTCGCCTCGTTGTTTCGGCATACCGCCTGTCCACTTCTGAACCTTAATTCATTACGACTTTCACTCGGTCCGAGTAAGCGGGTCTGATGTACTGGTGTAAGTATAATGTCTTCAATAAGTCTATTTCGGCACTCACACATAGCTGCAGTCGCTGCAAGGGACAAGAGCCTGGGACATCACCCAGAGTCACTCGGAACAACTGCTTAACACCATTGTTGAATGTGGGCGCCTGAATGGAACCCGTTGTGGTCAACTCACCCCAAAAGTACGGACTTAACAGCACGACCACGAAGTCGTTTTGCATTCCCACCGGCGGCCGGCGGGGCTCCGTGTCCATAAATGGCAGGCAACCTTCCAAAATAGAGCGATCCGGGTGATTGACGGCCGCAATCACCGATCGGCAGCCCGGCCCCGAGGAGTGTTACGGCAGCTAAGCTGTATCGACTCATCCAATCCTTTGGGGACATGAGTCTGACTGACGCCAGCGAGTCATTCAGACGCCCGTAGGCGGTTAGATTACGCGTCGCTTCCTCCTTCCTCTCTTCTCTCTACCACCACCACCCCACTTCTCACCATATCGTCTCCCCGTCCTATCCCCACGACCACTCGTCGACCTCTACGACGACCTCGACTCCACTGGGAACCACCACCTATAGCGACCACGTAGAGCCAGACCATGGATGCATTGCGCTCCCTCGTCCAGCCTCTCGTCAGCGGGTCGTCTATGATGGACGGCATGAAGCTCGTTGTCCTTGGGGGCACTGTCGAGACAGCCCGTCGCGTCAGCAGCTCTGCCTGGAACCACTTCGTCAACTGTAAGTTGCTGTTTACCCGCCACGTTGCACGTCCTATAAACAGCCGCTGACGTTACTTGCCCAGCGTTCTTCCTCACCGCCCACTTCTCAGAAGAAGACAGCCCGTATGATTGGCTCATGCTCTGGCTTTCGCGGCGGTATGTGGGCCGTTCTTCTCATTATTTCCCATGTCCCCCCGCGAAACTTTACCAGCTGACGCGTTTGGTGTGTGCAGCCCCGAATGGCAACGCTCCCGAGAATTCGAGACGACAACACGGGCAGCGCATGCGGGACAAGTCAGTGGCTGGGAGGACGACCCCGACCTGGGTGCTGAGTTCGACCAGAGCAACGGTGGTGCGTATCTCCTATTTCCCGTTTTGCTGTCTCATTGTCTACCTAGACGCCCCTCCCTCTAAAACACGTGTCATATTCCAGCCCACCTTTGACACCACCCACACCATATACTGGCGCGGCCACTGGCTGCGTGTCCGTCGTTCACGTGGCACAGACGGTTGTGAGGTCCTGAGTGTCAGCGTTGTCGCCAGGAGCAACACCATCCTCAAAGCCCTCGTCTTGCACGCCAAACGGGAGTACGAGGCCGAGGCCGTCCACCGAATCAATATCTACTTTGCCGACCCGCATGGCAGCTGGCGGTGGGCTGATGCCAGGCACAAGCGACCGCTTGGGACTATTGTGCTCGAGCCAGGGGTAAAGGAAATGCTACTGGGTGATGCGAGGGACTTTTTGGCGAGCGAAAAGGTGTGTGTCTTGCTTATCCAAGTCCTTTTCTAACCTGTCTTCATAGTGGTATTCGGACCGTGGTGTGCCGTGGCGACGAGGTTATCTTCTGCATGGTGTTCCTGGCTCGGGAAAGTCATCCCTCATACACGCACTGGCGGGCGAGCTCATGCTCGATATCTATGTTGTGTCGCTTTCGAGCGCCTGGATAAACGATAGTGTGCTTTTAGGGCTCATGGGGCGTGTTCCAAAAGTAAGTCTTTTGCTCGCTACTTATATGATGACTCATTACATTTAGGGTGCAATGCTGCTTCTGGAAGATTTGGATGCTGCCTTTACGCGTTCCGTCCAGCGACGCGCTGACGCCGAGGACAAGCAAGGCAAGGAACAAGACGGCAAGAAGAAGAAGGTTCGTTGGCCATATCGCGTTTTTGTCATTACTCAGCTTGAATGCCTTGCAGGAGGGTCGCGACAAGGACTTGAGCGACCTCAATACGCTCAGTTTGAGTGGTTTGCTAAACGCGTTGGATGGGGTTGCTGCTGCTGAAGGAAGGATTCTCTTCGCGTATGTGTCGGTCGTTTCGCATGACAATCTTCTTACTCTTTTGCAGGACAACAAATCATCTTGAAAAACTTGACCCTGCGCTCTCCCGCCCTGGTCGAATGGATGTTTGGGTCGAGTTCCGAAATGCGAGCAAGTGGCAAGCAGAAGCGCTATTCAGGAATTTCTTCCCCAGTTCCGACCCCGAGCCCGAGGAGGAAATAGACGAGGCTGCCCTCGCCGAGATCGACATTCCAACAACGCCTTCAAGCCTGCGCTCGTCATCGAGCTTATGGTCTTCCTTTGGTGGATCAAGCACATCCATTGCGGACATGACCATTCCCTCTTCCTCAGAGTCGTCAGCGCCCTCGACATCTTCCCGGAAAGGCAAACAAGAGCCCGCGATACCGCTTGACCTCCCTCAATTTGGGGCTTCCAATACCGCATATATACCGCCCGCGCCCGCGCCCGAGATCGTTGCGGCGCATCAGGGCCTCCGCCCGCTCGATGGCAAGACGTTGGCGCGGTTGGCGAAACGCTTTGCGGATGCCATTCCAGACGGCGAATTCAGTGTCGCCGCTCTACAAGGATGTCAGTCGTGTTTTTCTTCGTTCTTTGCCATGCTGACTCCGTTTATCAAGACCTTCTCAAGAACAAGTCGCGACCTGAAGCTGCAGCGGAGGAGGCTGGTTCCTGGGTTGTTGCGGAGCGGGAGATTCGGGAGCGACTGCTGAAGGAACGACAGGCAAAGGAGATCAGGGAAAAGATCGAGGTAAGATGATCGTATTTGCATTTGCGCAACTAATTTGCTCCATTAGCGCGAGAAGAGGAAAGAGCAGAAGCGCGAAAAGAAGGCCAAGGAGAAGGCTGAAAAGGAGAAAGCCGAGAAAGAGAAAGCGGAAAGAGAGAAGAAAGAGCAAGAGGAGAAGCAGAAGCAGGAGGAGATCAAGACGGCGGAGACAGAGACCAAGGCCGACTCTTCGGATACCACATCTGAAGCAGACTCGGCTGTCGTTGTCGAGAGCCCGAAGGAAGAACCTGCGGCTGTCGCGGAGGATAGCTCGTCGGAAAGCAGCGATGACGACTCGGAAGAGAGTGATGGGGAGGTGCAGAAGCAGACGAGGCCGACCATGAGTGCACGGGATCAGGCGCGGGCCCAGGGCCAATCATGGGGCAGACAAGTGCCCATATGACTCGCTGAAGAGGATGAGTCCTACTTTCCTGACGAGGGGCTTAACGTTGATTTCCCGGTCTCGCCTTCATCTGCTGCAGACAATTCGGTTTCTTTCGTTGATACCGGTGCCCAAACTACAACTGCACTATCACGCTATACGTATAGTCAGTTTCTTCACGCATATGCATATCTCACCCATCTGTACATACTCCTTCTGCATCTCGTCACCTCTACGTATCTACTCTCGGGTTAGCTAGCCATACCTACATACACACATTGCTCTTGGTTCTGAATGAAACACTCATCTTTGACAGGGGTGGCATGGCGCTGAGTACGTGCGGCAGCAGCAAGGTGGGAGTTAAGACAAGTCGTGGCCATGGAAAGGCACGTGATGCGGTGTCAGCAGGTGATGTCAGCGCGTTTCTTCAAACTTTCTTGCAGGAGACCACCACCACCACCACCACCACCACCACCACCGCAGACCGCGTATGCGGAGATACTCATTAACGGCTCTCGCCCGCGCTGGCCATGGTTTTGCTACTATAATCTCGCCACGCGATCAACCCGCAATTGCAGTTTCTCGAGAGTAAGGCCAAAGAGCTGAGTATCTTCCCGAAGACTCACAAAGTCGGTAGCGCTTTGAAATTTCGAGCAATGGCTGGCCCATGCATGAGTCGCAAAATCAAAGCTCAGATGAGCTCGCAGGCACGTTTCCGCGCATTGTCAGCCTGCGGCCCAAGCGCCGCCAATGCCACAGACAGGCGTATGTCGAGTATAAAAGCGTGCTTCGGGATGAGGTGTGGTCTACCACATCTCTTTCTCTCATCTTGCATACTCTCCATACACCAACCTTTAGGCCTGCTTCGGATTTTTATTCGGAAAACACCACCATACAAAGACTACAGTACTGAAAACGTGAAAACATGAACGCATTTTCCGTCCTTCCAAACGAACTCCTCGTCGAAATTGCGCGTGCGACACCGCAGGCGGACCTCGCTGCGCTCGCGCTGGCCAACTGGCGCCTCCGCGAAACAGTCAGTGGCGAATTGTACCGCCATATCGTGCTCCCCAGCGAGGCTGCACTTGTCAAGTACTGTGCCACCCTTGAGACCCGGCCAGAACTCGCTTTGCTGGCGCGGAGCCTCAATGTGTAGGTTTTTCTCTTTTCCATGGGAGGACATGGGAGCTGAGTGTGCCACAGAGACTTCAACGATGAAATGGACATTTATCGGGATGACTTTGTGCCAAGTGTACAGCGCTTCGGCACATACGGCGCAACACTAGAGGGGCTTGTCAACTTGCGCGCACTGCGCTCGTCCTGCCAGGGCCTCCCGACGCTTTTCCCACGTGGCGCGGAGGCTTTCCCAATCCTACAAATTTTGGAAACGCGCTTCTTCTACAATATCACCGAGTTCGTCGCCGGAAGAGGCACACTCCAGGAACTCATTATCCTCGGCGGGGACATGCTCTGTCTCGACGCGTGTTTTCAGCTCCCCCCGACGGCCCGCGCTGGGCCGCTCTGTCCGAGGTTACAGGTGTTCAACGGGCCGAGTAACCTTGCTTCCGCAGTGCTGCCTGGATCACAGGTTTCACATCCGTGCATTGCGTGGCCGCGCCGCCCTCGAGTGTACCTCCCTTTCGATGAAACGAACGACGCAGATTTCCTGGCATATGTCGTTGATCCGCAGGACCCCGAGCAACAGTTTTTTGACGCCGAAGTCGAGCGGTCGTTGCGCGCCGTCGCTGCAGCAGCCGTTCCCGTTGTTCAGCTAACCGCCGTCGTTGGTGAATGGGCTGTGCTTGACCCGGCTGTTCTCGCGCGCTGTCTTCCGCATCTCCGCTATCTCTTCATCGGCAATGCCGGGGCGGACTCCACATCCGACGAGGTGATTAGTCTAGAGTTCGCTATACACCCAGCTGAATAAATATTGATTATCTCTCGCAGGACGCTCTCCTCCAAAAGCTGAACGACGTGCTTCCGAGCCTGTGCGAGCTCCGCGTCGTAGTTGTCGCACACGACCCCTATGTCCCATCTGACGCGTGGGAGTGCGCAGAGTTCGGTGCGGAGTATGAGGCCGCGCTACGCCGCGTGTGCCCCACGCTTGAGGAGTACATCGTCTCGCGCAGCGCAACACCGGAGCCCGCGGTCGAGGAGGAAGAAGAGGACGTTCGTATGAGCAATGTCTGTTGAGGAGCTGGACTTCAACTCAAAAATTGGACAATCTTTATGGGTAGTACATATGACTTATGCAACTATGCTTACTATGCTTTTATGTATTTTACATTTACAAACTTAACCTGTTCAGCTTGAGCAGGCAGAGATAACATTTTAATTTTTCTGCTGCAAGGCCTTTCCCCTACTCTTGGGAAATTTATATTTAGGTGTGGGGCCTTGATATACTACCCTCATGCCCTTTGGGTAGTTCAGCCATGTGTGATCAATGCATCGGCTTTGAGCTGAGTCTAGTCCAACCCTTTCCATTTTAAATATTTACAAATGGTAATAAACATTTGAATGCCCATTTTATTTCTGAGCTTGGGACATAAATTAAATAAATAAATAGTTTAAATGGTTTTCATTCCAAACATTATCAGGGGAACCCCTGCTTCGGCCTCCTTCGGACCGTCCGAGTGCATCTGAGGCACATCCGACCGGCGCCCCCTCGGACGCTCCGACCCACCCCGACCATCGTCCACGGCCTCCTTCGCCCGCACAATCACCAATCCGTCAAGACCCTCCCAACGATCACCTTGGGACAGAGCCTGCGACGCCGCCCAGGCCTTCTGCACTCTACGTCGGCAGTTATGGACGACCAGTATATAGTTGGCGCCCTAGCAGGCGGCCCCTTAGAGTTTTTTCTCTTTGGATCCTCCCCTGCTAGGTCGGTCCCTCTGTGTATTTCCATAGCTTTTATTCACGCTTTGGATCCTCCCCTGCTAGGCTTTCGTCAGAGTCTCCAGGGTTGCCCTTACAAACATACTCAAATCAATATTAATAGTGTGCTTCAAGTACTGTTATTTTTACTCAGTTCAAATGTCACATGTCACACTCACTATAAAATTCGAATTTTTCCGCATGTCACACCATTTTGCCTGAATTTAGGAAATAATTCGAATTCAAAATTTTGTATCAATTGTTACACCATTTTTGGCATTCAGATTGAGTAAAACTAGTACTACATTATTTCTGAAGCTTAGAAACATTTGCACCCATTTTAGAACCAAGATTTCATTACTATGAAGTTTATATTATATCTCCTTAGCACTGAGCTGCACTTTATCTTCCATAATTTGGCAATACAATCAATAGGAAGTATACTTTTGATATCTATTTTGCATTGAAAGGGACTATTACAGCTTAAATGAACATGTCTCTTGCTGGTAGATGCATATGGGTCATAAAGACTTGAGACCAGTTTAAAAAAATGTTGGCACTGCTGATCAGTCACAGTACCTGGACTTCTTTTCTCCTTCTTTTTTTAAAAAGAAAACTCTATTAAGTATGTATCTACTGACTCAAAAGTCAGCTACAAATGCAGACAAATTACAATCAAAGCTGTCAACCCCTGAAAACTTACATTGTGGACCAGCCCTTACTACTATGAAGAATCTGAGTTCAGATTTAGATTTGGGGAGGGGGTGGAGATCTGAGATACTTAGTATTTTATATAATTTTCCCACATCATCAAAGAGGTGTTACTGTAGTATTTTACTCAGTTCGCATGTCACGCGTCACACTTGCCCTAAAATTCGAATTTTTTTCGCATGTCACACTGTTTTGCTCAAATTTGTGTCCCAACAAGGCAATTTATGACGTTGCTGGGCGCCTCCGGTGCCAAGAACTTCCTAATTAGGCAATAATTCAAATTCAAATCTTCGTATCAAATGTCACGCCATTTTTGGCATTCGAATTGAGTAAAATACTACAGTAAATCTTTTTGGACCTGCTGACTGAAACTTTTACATGCCTTTTTGCCTCACTGAAAATGGAATCTAATACTAGAAAAATAGGTATATGCTTCTGCCTTCTCTAGCTCTGTGAAAATTATACTATGGGCATCATCTCTATCTGTATGAACTGTATAGAGATATAGCTTTGACTCCAAGGTTTTTGTTATTGGGAAGAGAATCCTCATTATCCCAATTAAAATCATCTCCTTCTTTATCATCTGTATCTATCTCAGAAAGATATCCTGACTCAATCTGCAGGGAGCTTTCAGCACTACAGTCATCAATTGAACACCAAAAGAATCTGAATATGCCCACAGAGGAGGGTGGGGATTTTGTCGGGGTAGGACAATGTCAAAAAGATTAATTTCTAGCATGGGACACAGTGCACATATTGACACAAAAACTCATGTGTGTATTCATAGGATGCTACCCAATAATAAATATTTTTTTGGGGGCTGCAGGATTGTGATTGAGGGTCAAAAAGCTGCACATCAATCAGGTGTACCAAAACGGGGGGGTGTACCATTGGCCGGTAGATGACTGTAGTGCCACTAGTACTGTACTATTTTAATCAATTCGTCACCTGCCAACCTGCGTGACATGTGCGACGAACTTAAACTTTCGTCAGGCCTTCCCCATTAGGGAATTTCGGCGCCAGAGGCGCCGGATCGGACGGAAAATTACCATATATGGACCAATTTAGGGCCAATTTCTGCCGGATATGCGTGACTGACGAAAAAATTTTCGTCGGCTTGAGCCCTGTGTGACGCGTGACTGACGAACTGATTAAAATACTACAGTACTGTAGTATTTTACTCAGTTTGCAGATCACATGTCACAGTGCTGATTTTTACAGAATTTCTTCACATGTCACACACAAATTTGAGCAAAAAAAATGTCCAAAAAGGGTAAATCATAACATTTCCAGGTGCATCCAGCACCAAGAGTTACTTGATCAAATAATCCCAGTTGAAACTTTTATATTAGAGGTCACACCAAAAATGACATTTGAATTGAGTTAAATACTCTAGTATTGATAGTAAACATAGCTGGGGTTTGTTGCCACCC